TATCACACGGATGGCTTTGCATCCATATCGTGCACAAACCCAATTCCGGGAAAGCCCGCCAAGGAGAAGCCCACGCAATACAATTCGAAACTTGTAACAAGGACGGGTTCTCGGACGACGAGTAAAAACGGAGAGGAAACATGGAGGACACGTGATAATTGATTTGCAACATCGATGGTGTTTTCGGCAACAGGGAACCTTCGCCCTTTTTGATATTATCTCTCTCGTTTGCTCTTTCTCTTTGTTCTCTCTCTCTCTCTCGCTATGTTCTCTCTCTCTCTCTATATATCGCCCTTTCCCTCCCTCTCTCTCTCTCTCTCCCTCCCGCGCCCCGCCTGCCGCCTGCGCACCGATCCTGGGCCAAGGTGCACGGCGCGAAGCGCCAATGTCTCGTATGGATTGCATGCTTGTGTGTATGTGCACGTATGTGCGTATGTGTGTATGCATGTATGCATTCATGTATGTACGTCTGTCTGTGTATATGTATGTATGTATGTATGTATGTATGTATGTATGTATGTATGTATGTATGTATGTATGTATGTATGTATGTATGTCTATGCAGATGTGTGCCGACAGGAGGGGGAGGACGAATCGAATTGCCAGTCGAGAGCTTTGGGGGGGCGGGGCCAGCACTACAGACCCTCTGAGACGAACCCGCTTATAAGCTAGGTCAGGCCAGATATAACCCACCTGATCATCCACTTCTTGACCCCCCTATATACCCCCACCCCAAGGGGATTCAAGTAGGCGGATGGGTGACGTCCGATCGCCCATGTGGCTCCCGCTTACACTGGGAACGGCGCTGGCCTTGGCTTCGGCCTTTGCGGCGCACGGAGCGCGACAGGTGCCTTCATCAGCTGTGCCAGTCGGAGCTCCGGTCCCCGTCCAACGCTCGCCCGACAGGGCCCATGTCGACTCTGCCGACCAGCAGACATAATCAACAACATGACAAAATCCATCGATCCCGTTCGACACAGGCTTCGCCGGGCTCGATCCGATGCGTTTTCATTTCTTCCGGCGATGTGGTCGGTGCTTGCACGGGCGTTGTTGTGAATCTTGGTCCAGGCGATCCGATCCGACGTGCATTCCGTACCAATGTAGCCCGATCCGATGCACACTCCGACCCCAAACGTCCGCAGTCTTGATATGTGCAACATGGGGTCCCCCAAAGTCCCGACCCCCCTCTGGGGAAAGCATTTCATCCCGAGCCGTTTTTGTCGACGGTCCCCGACCAGGCGAGGGTCCCCAGAGTCAAGCAGTGGCGAAGCTTCCCGGCTCGCTGATAGTCCCACTAGACAATGTTCTAAGAACATTTTGTGGTTTCCACGAAGTGTTCTTAGAACATTTCTGGCTGGGACTGTCTCGCTTTAACACATCGGGCTTATGTTCTGAGGACATGGTTTTTGCTCTTAGAACATTTTCGGGTCCCCTGCTCAACAGAGGCAGAACAGCGAGACAACAAAGGATTATCGTTGTTCAACTCGCTGGGCCCGTCTTCTGCCTGCCCGCCCGCCCCGCCGGCCCTGGCCTCCCGCCTGGGCCTTCGTCGTCGCCTGCCTGCTTCTCCCCTCCTCGTCCCCTTCCGCCGGACCGCGCGGCCTGCCCGGAACCAGCGTGGCGGCATGTAGGGCTTCGGCAAGTGATCGGGACTGCACCTCCCAGAGCGTTCCAACTCGCTGGAGGTGTGGGGCTCGACCGGCCCCGCTGCCCGATCTGCTCTTGGCTGACCTCGGCCCCGCCGCCAGGCACGTGACGCAGTCGGTGCGGAAGGTGCTTCGGGAGGACCTCACCGTCGCGCTGCCTCCCGGGGAGGGCCCAGAGAGATCCAACGGGGCGTTGTGCTGCTGCCTCGGGCAAGTTTGGAGGAGGAGGAGGAGGAGGAGGTCCAGGAGGAGGAGGAGGAAGCGGAGCCGACAGGGAGGAGCAGGAGGAGGAGGAGGCGAAAGAGGTAGTGGACCACGAGGGCGACGACACGGAGCCACGACAGGGCGGCCTCTCCGTCGTCCCGGAGCGGGGGGCCACTTGGGGCTCCGGAGGGGCTCCGGTTCTCGGGGCCGCTCCTCCGGTGCGAGCCATGGGGGAGCCTGCAGTGAAAAAACGCGTGTGGAGGGCGGGCTGCGCTGGCGCAGAGATTCTGGGAGGCCGAAGTTGGGATCTTAGGAAGGCACCAACTATACACCAACACCGATCCTGGCCAGGATCACCCTGGGCCCAGGATCGGTGTATACGCCCTCCTGCCTTGCGCAAGAAGGCATATACACCGATCCTGGGCCCAGGGTGATCCTGGGCCAGGATCGGTGTTGGTGTATAGTTGGTGCCCTCCGGGATCTGCTTGGGCGGCGGACGAGCAGTGAAAGCAGCAGAGGACGGGCCGTGGAGGCAAGGACACGAGGGTCCCGTGGATGACGGCGCGCGTCTTTATACTGGGCGCGATGACTGCATATATTCTTGGCCGAGGCTCGTCGCCGTGGCCAAACAAGCCTTTTCGCTCATTATCTGGCGTTCCCTGTGGCAGCACGATGACCGCATGTGCATGGCATGGCATCTCCCCTCCCTCCCCCTTTCCGCCGCCCGCCTTGTCGAACAGCGCTGTGCCGAAAAGGCGGCGTGCAGGCGAGTCGCGACCTGCGTGCAGAAGTCCGGATTTTCTTTCGGGCCTACATGCGAGTAAGTTTGCCGCCGTCCAGGGAAAATCAGCCCCGTACATTGCGCTTCTTCTTTTTGTTATTATTCGTCGGTTGTTATTTGTATTAGTATTGTTATTCGCGCCATTCTCATTCGTATCAATGAATAACAAAACAGTTCTTTTTTTTTTGGAAACAAAAAAAAAAAAAAAAACATCCTGTGGTGTTGGGTCCACGTTTTGAAGAGACGGTCCCCGCGTCCTCCTCTCCTCTCCTCTCCTCTCCTCTCCTCTCCTCTCCTCTCCTCTCCTCTCCTCCTCTCCTCTCCTCCTCCACCCCCTCCTCCTCCCTCCTCCCCCTCTTCCTTGCGTTTCACCCACCCAGTACAACGTTTCGTAGCCCCATAGGAGCTCCGCCGAAGGCCCCAGTGCTGCCGCCCGCATGCGTCACCCACACCCAATTCGGCACATCCCTCACGCGTTTCGTGGCCCCATAGGAGCTCCGCCGAAGGCCCCAGTGCTGCCGCCCGCATGCGTCA